GGATTGATCTTACTCACGAAGCAATTTTAACAGTTCACTTCACTGAGATCTTTCTCAATTTTTCACACTGTACTCTACCATGTGTAATAAATGTTAGGTTAATTATGTCAGTTTCCTAAAACAGCAATTTCAACCTTTTTCATGTCATGGCACATATAAACTAATTACTAAAATTCTGTGGCACACTAAAAAGTGTATTTTTTGCCAATCTGACAAGAAAAAAAATAGGTGTAATTTTGCCCTGATCATTGTGGCTCAGTTAGTTGGGTATCTTTCCACAAAGCAAAAGGTCATTGGTTTGATTCCTGGTCAGAGCACATGCTGAGGTTGTGGGTTTTGTCCCTGGTCAGGGTGCATTCAAGAGGCAACCAACTGAAGTTTCTCTCCCTCTTTTTCTGCCCCCCTTCCCATAAATAAATAAATAAATAAATAAATAAATAAATAAATAATCAATCTCCCCGCCCCCGCCCCGTATAATTTTGGTTCATTCACACCAGATGGCTATTGTTCTATTAGCTGTTGTCATTATTTTATTTGACAATCCAAGGGAAAAGAGGTCAGGTGCTCCAGATTAAATAGTCAGGCATTTCATGTTTTAAGAATTCTTGCCACCAGTTGAAAACAACTGTTCTAAAAGCTTTTTGTAAGCTTCAAGTTGAACAGCAATATTAACAGTTGCACCAGCAGTAGCAACCAGAGCGACAGCATAGGCTAGGCCCTTGTTCTAAGTAAGAACTTTACAAATATTATTTCATTCAGTCCTCACCACAACCGTGTGAGGTATTACTGTCCTTATTATATGGATGAGAAAACAGAGGTTAAGTGACTTGTCAAAGGTAACCCAGTTAGCAAGTAGTTAAACTGATATTCACATCCCCTTCCCCGACTAACTCCAGAGTTCATGCTCTTAATCTCTTTATATAACTGTGCATACCTAATAATGATCAATAAAAAGACCCATGTGAAATAGAAATCAAACTAGTTATCCCAGTTATAAACAGAAGACTGAGTTACAATCCAAGTCAGATACACACAGAGCTTTCTGACTAGTCTCTCAATCAGATCCCAAGACGTTCATCTTCTTCCCAAAGAAAAAAGACAATGTAAGGAAACATATAAAGGACTCCATTCCAGGGAAAAGAAGCATAAGAGGAGGCAATGAAGGCAATGGAAAGTACTACATGCAACCAAAAACTTAAAAAGTTAAATCCAGGATATCCCCTAAATATCTGTACTAACATAACATCCTTGATCCCTTGATGTGATCTCTTGTAACTAGAACTTCAACATACACTGTTCTTCATCCCTAAAAAAGCTAACACATAAATATTTAAGAGATTTGCAGGCATCAAGCATAAACTGTTCCTTATAAAAAGTAATGTTCACTCAAACACATGTAGTTTACAAAGTACCTTTGCAGATAACATTTCATTGAATACTACTGCCCTGTTAGGTATGAGAGCAATTTGTTATCCCCATTTTACAGATGAGGAATGAAGGGACTTACCTTCATACTGTTTGTGACTGGTCCTATCATGCAGCACCAAACCCCAGCTCCTTCCACACCACATGTGCTTCCTCATTCCACATCAAAAGGTCACAAAACTATCCTGTCTGCCCCCTTTGCCCAGGTTCATTACCAATACTGTAAGAACAAGTGTCATCTAATAATGACACCATGAATTATAAGTATAAAGGGGAAAGAAAACAAACTCAGCGTTTTCTCTGAGGCCTGGCATTCTGTTTAGCTCCCAACCTAAACTTGGCCTAATGGAGTTCTCACAACGGCCCTTCAGTAAGTGCTGGTATTCCCATTGCATTGTTCAAGAAACAGACTCAGAGAGGCTCAGCAACTTGACTAAGGTCACATGTTAAATGACACAGCTTATTTGACATTACAGTAATGTCCTTTTCTGATCAACAACAAAGAAAAATACTATTTTGGTTAAAATATTTTAATGTTTTAAAATGTCAAAAAAAACACCCTCCCACTTGCTGTCACAACCTCACTTAGTTGATGATGGCCTTTTGGCCTTCCTGATTTTCTCTGGTTTACTCTTACTATCTGCTGGCTTCACTGGGTCCTGGAAAGAGGGCCAGCTGTTAGAACAAAAAAAAAGCAATGTAGCCTTAACAAATAGCATTTTATAAAGCTACAGGAATCATGCAAATATTATTTTTGCCCTAGGTCTAATTTAATTCTATCAAATAGTATGTGTCAGTTACAAGAAATAGAAGCCTGACCAAATAGTAAGGAAATAAGAAGAGTGAGCAGACTGTGAACAATAATTATAGTCACCACTTTCTGAGGACTTTACCAATCCAGACAAGATATCAACAACAAAGTGCACAAAAGTAATCTCATTACCATCCTAGAATCAGGTCTCCCACCACCTTATTGTGAAGCATTAGGGATAGACAGCATTAACCTCAAAATACTTTTGTGCCTCTCCCCTCAGGTGTTAACTGCTAAAGAACAATGACAGATAAAATGTAAACATGGCACTATAAACCGTTTTAAATATGGAAAGATTGTTGAAAGACTCCCTAGAACAAAATTTAATTAGCATTAACAACTTAAGCTGTATTTATTATTCCCAGAGGGGGCTTCCTTTATCTGAAGCAAACAGGAGGAACATTCTGTTAGCCCAAGTTGTAGTCAATGGAATTTGAATATCTAAAAAGGCTGTTAAGCAAAATTCTGTGTTCTGGGAACAAATAAGAAAAGCTAAGTCTATCTGAGCTAAACTGGAGGGGTGGGTGGAAAAGCCAGCTGGAAGGACTAAAAACAGGGTAGCAGTAGATAAAAACGAAACAGGAAGAACTGAGCTAAAGGAAGTATGAGGGGAAGGAGGAATAGGGGCAAAGAAGGCTGGAATCCAGAAAATACTGGTGGATCTGGGCAACTCAGACCTAGAAAAGGAAGGAAACAAATGCCTAGAACCAGGTTTGTCAGAGCCTGACCTGTGGAAAGGACCTCATCTTCTACGGATTAAACTTAAGATAAAGGAAATGAACTGGTCAAGACTAGAGAAAACGGAGTTCATTTAAGACACACAGGAAGGTCCTGAACAAGGATAACAATAACCGGTAGAGAATGGAGGCAACTTATTAGTGCTTTTTAGAAAATGTTAACTTTACATGGGTAAATTGTATGACATGTGAATAATATCTTAATAAATCTGTTGTTTTTAAAAAGTGTGTTAAACTGGGCAATGTATGTCTGTACTTATGATTTAATTGAAATGATTAGGTCAGTCTATAGAAGAGTGCCCCCCCCCATTCCCTAACCCACTAGGGTAAGTTTATACTTGTGTCTGGGAGCATCTCTGTTGGAATACACTAGTCTGTAAAGGAGACAGGATTATAAATACAGAAGGAGCAGATGCGGCGGGGAGGGGAACTGGGAGATTTTAGAGACCTTCCCCCATTTTGTCTTTGGAATTTTTGGCCCTGTGGGGGAAGAAAGCTTTTGTTTGGGGTATGCCTTGAAGTGGAATATGAGGTTTCTTCCGGGGATGATCTAGGGTCAAAATCTACCTAGTCAAAGAGAAAACAATCTGGGGTGAAAAGTCAGTTCTGGAGAAACCCTGAATGTTCATCGTGAAATGACCATACACGTCGTATCTCTGTTACCCCCAAATTGGACTGCACACCCCGTGTCACTTTGATAATCACGAAGAAAGACCGATGCTTTGCCATGATCTCAGAAGTTTCTGGCGAGCTGCCCACTGACGTAAATTAGGAAATCATTCGGGGACCAGCCTGGGTGAAGCAAAGCGCCACGTCCAGCGCTGGACTGACTCCCTGCTCCTCTCAATGTAGGGAAAAGGAACGAAGGGGGCAGAAGGCTAGCGGGAACACCACACCACCCGTCTTCACCCTCGTCCGTTTGGCCGGGTTTTGGGGAGCCGCCCCCAGCGTACCCCGATCCCCACTCGCCCGCCTCGGGTCTGCGACCCCCAGGAGGAGGGCGGTGGCGAGCGCCCCCTCGAGCCCCAGGCGCACCTCCCCCGGGGCAGCTGTCGCCGCGGCTGGCCCGGCCCCGGCCCCGGCCTCCCCGGGAGCAATAGGCTATCGATTCAGCTGCCTGTCGCTAGGAGCCCCGGGAGAGCGAGGCCTACACCGCCCGGCCGGAGCCCCGGCCTCGATTTCGCCACTTTCCCCACACCGGCGGCAGAGCCGGGGGCAACCCAGCCCAACAGGGCGGGTGGGAGGTTGATCTGAGACCACCTGCAACGGCAGCCGCGGGGAGGGGTTTGCGGGCGCGGGGCTCCCGCCAACAAGTCTCCCGGGGTCTCCCAGTCGCCACCCCCTGCTTCACAAGTTGCGCATTCAAGTTCAGGCCGGCGCCTTTTCGCCTCCAGAGCCCTCGACACTCCCGAAATCATAATAAAAACATGACGAAAGGAGATGGAGCTGGGCCCGTAAGGGCGCCGAGGGGGGCGGCCAACAGCGACCCGCCGCCAGTCACCTCCCCTCCGCTCACCCAGCCAGCCCTCGACCCCTCCGGCGGCCAGCCCTGTCACCGCCCGTCCTCAAGGCCCCTACCCCTGGACGCCGGCGACGGGGGCTCGAGCTCCGCCTAGCCTCGGGCGCGCCTCGGCCTCCTCCCCCTCCAATCCCCAAGATGCCCCCACACCTTTTAAAGTACGCGGAGGAAGAGTTTCCCATCAAACTTTGTCAAGCGGTAACCTCGCCCCCCTCCCAACCCACACTTTCGGGGCAGTCGGCGGGAGAGATCACTTTACACTTGGGATGAAGAGAATTAAGGACCTGTCAACCATTTTGGGTCTTTTTTATAAAGACATCCTCCCCTTCCCCTCCCTCCCTCCCCTTGCAATGGTTTTAATTTGACACCAAACCTTCCCACCGCACAAGGGGGGGTGGAGGAGGGAGGAGGTGGGGACGGAGGGCAGGAGGAGGGTGGCGAGGGAGAGCGAAAGGGGGAGATTGGAAAGGGGCCGGGAGGCGCGGGGAGGGGAAGGGGGTTGATTTACCTGAGACCAGCCACTGGCCTCCATTGTTGGAGAATTCAATGGCATTGACACAGCCGAAGTGGCCGAGGAGGTCCTTCTTGTAGAGGTTTCTGCAGCCTCGCAGGCGTCTCCGCTGAAAGTCCTGAGTGAGCAGGGGGTCCCCATGCAAGCCCCGCTGGGACAAGAAGCCCACCACTGACCTCATGCTGCCCCCCAGGCCAGCTCTCCTCTTCATCCTGGAACCGCCGCCGCCGCTCGCGCCGCCGCCCCTCCCTCGGCCTCACGCGCGGCCGCCGCGCTCCCCCCACCCAACCCTCCCCCCGCGCTGCGATCCGGATGGTTCTTTAACCAGCCATGGCAGACGGAGCGAGGTGTGCAGACACTCGGTGGCGTTCGCGGCTTCCTGATGGTCCCCTCCCTCCCCTCTCCCCCACTCCTCCAGGCTCCTCCCTCTGCTTCTCCGCCTCCTGCAGCAGCTGATCCCCAGCTGTGGCCGCGCTTCCGCGGGCCGCGGGCGCCGGGAGAACGCGGGCGGCGGCTGCCCCTCCCCCGCCGCGGGCTGCTGGCCGGAAGAACGCGGGCGGCGGCTCGGCTTTCCCGCCGCAGCTCCACCTCGCGCGAGGACCCAGGTGGCGCTGGGCGGAGGCCCCGCGGTACCCCCTGATCGCTGCACTCTGTTAAGTTGAAGGCGCGTAACAATCAAAGTGGCCGCGGGGCTGCGGGCTCTCCTTGCTCCCCCGGCGGCCGGTGGTCCATCGCCTCCTGGAGGCCCAGCGCCAGGACGAGTTTGGCTCCCCGTTCTTTTTTTTTCGGTCGGGAAAATGCAGCCCGAGGGGGCAAAGAGATGAGGGAGAACTGCGGGCGGAGGCTTCGGTTGTCTTCCCTCAGTTCGTGTCCTCCTGCGGTCGCCCGAACCTTGTCCAAGGGAAGGGACCCAGGAGTTAGGACTGGACTCGGGGTAAGGTTGCTTGGGGATTTTGTGGGTGTATCCGTTCCAACCCCCACCAAATAAATTTTTAACACTGCCCACGCCCCCTTTAATTCCGTGCTCTAATTCTCCCTCCAGCTATTCGGTAAAAAAGGCTAAATTGTACCGTCTGGTAGATAGGTAATAGAGCGGTATTTGGGAAGAGAGGGTGGGGAAGGAGGATTCTTAAAGAAATGAAAAAAAAAAACAAAACTGCCAAAACCGAGTTGAGAAAGCTCTGAGACACAGGAAGTACTTGTGTCCATTAATTCCAAGTATATTTGCAAGACACAAGAAGCGTTATTCGGAAATAAGACTATGCATCTTGTTTCAATGGGTGCGGTGAGGTCGTTTTCAGGGTCTTAAGTGTGCGTCTCTCAGGCTGTATAGCTGTTAACCAGCCACTAGTTCCAGCCAGAAGAGGGCTCGGAAGGAGTCTTGGCCTTGACCCCAGTCAAGTGACTGGATGTCAAGTGCTTTGGAATTCTACCAGATGCAGTAAAAACCTCCCTTTTCAATGCATTGTCCTTTTCCTATAAGCTATCCCGTCATTAAAATGGTAATAAACTATTTGAAAAGGCCGGTGTCAGTTTTGCCCTTTGAATTTCACAGGGATTACAGATACATCCTCTGTACTAGAGATGGCATATAGGTAGTCAGTCTAGTACGCCACCATGAAAGATGAGCTGAACACACGAGGTTGGTTCACCCATCAAGAAAAATCACCTACTTCTACTTTTTGGACAATGACAATGATAAGATTACTAATATACCAATGACAAATAGGCAAGTAAATGTTTAACAGTCAATATTATCTCAAATACTGCTGAACTTAACAGCAATTCACCAAACTTCAGAAATTATGGTTTAAATGGAACATTGTTTTTCTAAATAGGAAAATGTATAGTGCTTTAAAAAAAATTTTTTTATTCTCAGGATGCTTCGTAGTGTTTATTCATTATAATCCTGTATAAAAATTGGTAGTACACCCAACATCTTTGCCTATCAATATCATAACGTGTACTTAATCATTTATTTTGTGATTATAACATTGTCCTCCACTCTGCTATAAGCTCTTTGGGAGCAGGGACCATGTCTGTTCTGTTCATGGGTGTGTGTGTCCAAAGCCAACACATGCCAGCATCTAGTGGCCACTAAGTATATGAATGAATTTAGGGATTGGGGAGGAATTTGGAAAGGAAGGTAATGACTTCAGGTGTGGGATGTGTGGAGGTTGAAGTATCTGTCCTTCATTCCAGTGGAGACAATTTCAAGGTCAGTTTCCCATCTCACTGTTTCTTTGCTTCACATGCTCATTCTACACATTAAAAAATGGAGCCCTCTGGCTCCTTTCAATTAATAGGACATCACTTAATATACCTACCTTATTTGCCTGGGGTAGGGGATATGGGCGTAGTAGTAATGGTGTGACTGAAGTGGCCTTCATTGTGGCAATATTTAAAACACACTCTCCTCTCTCCCTTCAGCATTTATCTCTTCTCCACAACTTTATATGAGACTTGATTTTCCCCAGTCTCTGGAATAACTGCCCCATTTACCTCAGCCTAAAGATGGACCAGGACTTAGCCACATGCCAGCCCAATTCTAGAATTTTGCTGGAAAGAAATTTCCTTAACTTTCAGTGACCAGCCAGGACAGATATCTAGGACCACTTAGTCTGTTTATATCCTACAGCTAGTTGGGACAGCTTTTTTTAAGAGTACACAAAACCTCTCCTTATTCCGATAATTATGTTGCCAAGATAAAATACAGGATACTCAATTCAATTTGAATTTCAGATAAATGATGAATAATTACCTTAGTATATTTGGGATATACTACTAAAATAATAATTCATTGTTTATCTGAAATTCAAATTGAATTGGACATCCTTTATTTTTATTTGCTAAATCTGGCAACCCTACCTATAATATAACTCAACTTTAAGATCAAACCCCATGGTATCTGTTTGCTCATATTAAGAATTTAACATACCCCCATGGGTCATTTATTGCAAACTAATAATATTGTACATAACTGTATAACACAAACATTTAATCAACTTCAATGACCATATGAGCGTGGCCTTCCAGATATAGGCATTTAAAGTGAAAAGGCCAGTGTACTTAGCTTAAAAATAGCAAATGCAATTGGACTCCTGAGTAATCTCTCCACTGCATAGAATGTGTGGAGGAGGAGGGAAAAGAGTGAAAAATTCCTCATTTTCTTAGGCGAGAAACTTCTGTAAATTAACATTCATACTCAGGAAGCCCTGAAACACTGTTTTATAAATTCATTCTAGAAAAACCAAGATATTGAAATTACTTAACCCTTACTTAACTGCTTCACCAAGGATCAAATACTGACCAGATGTTGAGTTCCCAGAAATTCATTTACTCTTTGACTTCTCTTTTTCTTGGCCCTGGTATCACAGGAGGAAAAGTAAAGAACCTTTAAAAACTGACTAAATGCTAAGGAAAAGCTCAAACTTAGAAATTGTTTTTTAAAAAGCTAAAAAAATAAAAAAAAAATAACTAAGAAAATACTAAGCCTCTTCTCAAATATTTACTAAATCTTAGCATATTAAGAACTACATATAGATACTAATGTGCTCAGAAATTTTTCACTTAAAAATATTTTGAACTTTAAAATAAACTACTAGTCCTGACCAGTGTAACTCAGTTGGTTGGGCATCATGCCTTAAGGTGAAGGGTCACCTGTTCAATTCCCCCATCAGGGCACATTCCTGGGTTGCAGGCTTGGTCTCTGGTTGGACTGCCACACACTACAGGTAGTCAATTGATGTTCCTCTCTCACATCGATGTTTCACTCTCCCTCTTTTTCCAACCCTTCCCTCTCTCTAAAATTAAATAAATAAAATCTTAAAAAATAAAATAAACTGCTACTCATAAGAGATATTAATTCAGACAAATAATACTTATTTCACACATATAATTTAACTAATGTTATTTAAATTTTAAAGGATATTGGTAATTTCAAATAGCAGTCAATCTGAATTTGGGGGGAAAAAACTGATCTATTTAAACAATTTTTTTCCAATAAGATCTATAGGACATATGTCCTTCCATTTTTTTAAATAATAATTTTATTAGATACAATTGACATAATCATAAAATTCACCTTTTTAAAGTACAGAATTCAGTGGCTTAGTATATTCACAAAGGGGTGCAACCGCCACCACTCTCCAATTCCTGAACATATTCATCAACCCAAAGAGAAACCCCCCCTCACATGAGCAGTCCCTCCTCATTCCTCCCTCCCTTTATTCACTGGCAACCACTTAGATACTTAATGTCTCTATCCTGAATATTTCATATGAACGGAATTATGCAATAGGTGGCGTTTTTGTCTGGCTTCTTTCATTTAGCATCTTTTGAGCACTCCATTTTTTTCTAGACCAAATTATATTCCTCTCTATAAGTATACCACATTTTGTTTGTTCATTCATCAGTTGATGGACATTTGTTCTATTTCCACTTTTGGGCTATTGTGAATAATGCTGCTATTAACATTTGTGTTCGAGGTTTTGTTTGGATGTTGTTTTCAGATCTCGGATATGAAAAAACCTCATGAAATATATATAAAATCCCTATGATAACTCTGTTTAACTTCGTGAGGAACTTCCAGACTGTTTTTCCAAAGTAGCTATTTTACATTCCCATCAACAATGTCAGAGTTTTCCAATTTTTTCATATCCTTGCCAATCCCTGTTATTATCCATCTTTTTTCTTATAACCATACAAGTAAGTGAGTGGTTTCTCACCGTGGTTTTTTTTTCATTAAGGTTTTGATGTGCAGTTCTTTGATGGCGATTGATATTGAGCATCTTTTCATGTCCTTATTGGCCATGTCCATCTCAAAGTGTTTTTCTAATTTCTCTTGTGAATTCTTTCATGTCCAATTAGTTATTTAAGAGTATATTGTTTAATTTCCACATATTTTTGAGTTCCCCAAATTTCCTTTTGTTATTGATGTCTAATTCATATTTTTAATCCTCACCTGAGGTATGGTTACTGATTTTAGAGATAGAGAGAGAGGGAGGGAGGGAGAGAGAGAGAAACATGGATGTGGGAGAGTAGCATCAATTGATTGCTTCTCATATGTGCCCCAACTGGGGATTGAACCCACAACCTAGAGTATGTGCCCTGACGGGGATCGAACCTACAACATTTTGACATATGGGACGACACTCCAACCAACTGAGCCACCAGGCCAGGGCTCTCACTCATTTCGTAAAGGGGGCATTT